TCTTTTACAACGGTCCGACATGACCCCGTAATCTGTCTTCTACAGCGGTCTGACACCGCCATACAGTGTCCTCTACAACGTTATGACACCCCATACAGTGTCTTCACCAACGGTCTGACACGACCATACAGTGTCTCCTATCCTTTTTTATTTTTATGTATTTTCTTGTTTTGTTACTCTCTCCAAACTCAAGTTGGTTAGTTTCTCTCCTCCTTGAGTTTGCGGGGGGCTGTTAGAATTTCCCATCTTTACCTTCACCTACTCCACTACACACTCCACTTCACCTACCCCGAGTTTTCAACACACTCCACTTCACCTAACCCACTATCACCTCCACTACACCTACTACCACATTTTCTTCTATATATAGATTGTATAGGAATTGTAATTTATCAATCTTGTAATACATCAATCAATAATACAATTCTCTATTTCTCTTTATACATTAAATTTTCTACAAGTATTTCTGAATTGGTTCATTTTAAGGTTAAATGTGAGGTTGCTTTCATTGTCAAATATTAAAGCTTCTTTTTCTCGTCCAGATGTGCTTGTGTGTGTCATGTCATGGCTATTTTTGTAAAAAAGAGACGCATTTTTCTTGTAAGAAAGTCGAGAACTATCCATACTTTTGATATCTACCTGAGCTCTTTGGGTCCCACATCACAACGTCCTTCTGCCAGTTCTTCGGCAACTGCTGCTCGAACAACAACAGCTCCAACCTCTGCTGCTATATCTCAAATACTGCAATCATAAGTAGGTCATAGCAAAAACAAATTAGTAGAGGTTACTTTACCTTTATTTTACTAATTCATTCATAGGAAGTCCCCAAATGGAGAAATATTTTCTTTGCAAATTTTACAAGACCTGGTTAAGGATATATGATGAGTAGATCCAATTCAGGGATATATTAATGAGTAGATCCAATCATCCGACCCATGAAATCAGAGGTCTGATTTGTTAATTATGGATACTTTAAATAAAGAGAAAAGGAAACTTGATTGTAGTATTAGCCATACAGTCAAAACAATTTGAAAAGGCTTTGAGGTTCACACACTCCACAAGGTCAGAGTCAGATCCAATATCAGTGGGTATGTCGTCTTTGCATAATGCAAACTAACCTGATTAGTGATTATTGATCGTGCTTTAACAAGCTATATCCAAAACCTATTGACAAGAGAACGACTTTCCGTAGGTAATAGGTTGAACCTTAACCACTAGAAGAAAATACAAGTATATGAGCTAGCTATGAAGCACTGACACATCAAAATAGGTGCAATAGCCGTGTTAGATATGTACGGGACAGGGACAGGGATAGGGACGTGGTGGGGACACATATGGGATATGCCACATGACGTGCCCATTTTTATAATAATTTTTTCAGACGACACAACAGGGACACCCAAGGTTTTAATTTAATTTTTAAAGCTAATTTTGGGGGTTATATTATAATGCTTGGAAGTTGGAAACGTGGGAGTTGAATTTTAAAATATAGATAAAGAACTCATATCAAACTATCGACAACGCAATACAGATCTAACCACAAGTGCAAAATTGAGAAATTGGCTTCTAATGATCTTTGGACCCTCACGCAAAAATATATCTAGTCTATGGATAATTTACATTTAGTATTTCTTTATATATATATATATATGTTAAATTAGTGTTGGTTTTTATTAATTTTAGTTGTTTGTGAATGTAATATTTACGTACATAGAAAACAAAAATATATAAAACAATTATATTTTTTGGTCGTATTCTCACCGTGTGACCGTGTCTGTGTTCTGATTTTTTTGAAATTGTCATGTTTCGTGTCCTTGTCTGTATCCGTATCAGTATCAGTATCCATGCTTCCTAGTGAGCTAGTGTCGAATTGATTTCTAACTATGCATGAAAAGGTGATCCGTGCTTCCTAGTGAGCTAGTTTACAACTGATTTACAAATATATATATGAAAATTTTAATGTTCCAATGGAGCTAAGAACAACAATACCTTCTCGTAGGAGGATACAAAATAGCACTCTGAATCTCTTTGTTTGTAATATATGAAGCAAGGCTACAGAGAAAAAATATATTAGCAAAAGTTAGCTGATACTGGGTTCAACACCATGCAAACATTTTTCCTCCTCTATCAAAAATTGAACCAATAACTATATAATTTAATCAACAATAAATAAGCGAGTATAAACCAATAATTACAGAATACAAGTCTGGCCGGAGATGGATGCATCTCTAGCCCCAACACTCTTTTTATAGCACACAAAAGGACTCTTTTAGACCCAACACACCAAATGAACATATGGTCTTACTTTATTCTTTACTTCACATGACTCACTTACAACACTATAGATATGGCAACACACATGGTGACAGTAACAAGTGCCACCTCATTTAATGAGGGCACAGTTAACAATCCAATAAGAATGGATGAGCACGACACTAATCCATAAAAGGCTATGTTAGAACAAAGAATGAAGCGGTCAAATTGTGTAATATATACCATTTAGAAATTGCTTGCGACATTCCATCTGAAATCAAATGAGCACCTGAGAGGAGCTCCCATCCCAATCCTGAATCAAGTCAAAAAGGTTACGATAGTAGTCATAAAAAACTAAGCACAATATATCAGTGACGTGAACATTAGCACTAACCCAAGAAATAGATACATGTTATTTGCTTGATTTACATGACCCACTTTTCCATTCCTTGACAACAAGTATATGATTGGAAAAGGTCAGAGTAATTGAACACCACACTAAGTAAGACAGGTCTAGCATTTGTACCCTTTTAAAACATTTGGGAAGTGTATTTGAATCCTTTATTTTATTTTGGGGATCTTTGGTGTCGTTGTAACTTGGTTTTGGGTGAGTGAAAATCGATTTGAACTTGTTGGGATTGTTGGTTCACGCTTGTTTATGTTGAAAAGTTGTTTGGGAACTTAGAAATCTTGTTCGGGGGTCGACACTAATCTTGGTGGTGTCGACACTTGCCTTTTGTTGTTGGCCTTAAGGGTCGACACCAATCTGGGAAGGGTCGACCCTTGTATATTGCAGAATCTGTGTTAGTAGCTGTAAATTAGTGTCACCCTTCCTGTCTAAGGGTCGACCCCCCTTGCTTGCTGTCAGATTGTCTTTTCTACCTAAAGGGTTGACACCTCTGCCCGAAGGGTCGACCCCTACGTGTTTTTTTTTCAGAATTTTAGGGTTCGAATGGGCCCTACTTTTGGGGGTTTTGGACTTGCCCTTTTTATTTGACTTTAGGGCAATTTTCTACTACTATAAATAGACCCAAACCACTTTCCTCTCATTACTTTTTCTCCTCTTTTCATCTTAAACCGTGATTTCTCTCTTCTCTCTCTAAAACTTGACTTTTCGCACCTAGATCTATAGATCTACTCACCTAGAGTAATCTTTTCACCATGGTCCTTTGAGAAAGATTGTAGATCTCGTCAAGGGCTTCCTTTTGGTCAGAATAGTTCGTGGTTTCGTCGCCGATGAATTTTGGGTTGTCATCTCTTCACTTCAAGAGATAGGGATTTTTTTGCTCCTTTCCAATACTTCGTCTATAGATAGATAAGTGGTAGATTTTATTGCATAAAAACCATATTTATTATGGATTTTCTTGAAAGCCATGAAAGGGGATCTAGAGTTTGATATTTGTGATTGGAGTTGTTAAGTTGTTTGTTATTGGGTTATTTGGGAAATGATTTATTATGTTTGTGAAGAGAGGGAGGAAAACCCTAATTTAATATTATTGATATAATGGATTTAAAAGGAAGAAAGTTGAATAATTTTTATATTTTACTAATATGGGTTATATAATTGTGTTTATTTCAAAAGTAAATAAAAGGAGAAGTAACCACGGTATTGGTATTGTTTTAGTCTAATCACGTGAAGTTGAGTTGAGTTATGGTTTTGATACCAATGGAATTGGTTTTGTAAAATAAAGAGGATGGATTTGGTTTTGGTTTTGTAAAATGACGAGAATGAATTCTTAGAAAACGGTTGGAGTTGTGTAGATTGGAAAATAAAGAGAAGTGGTCTTTTTGAAAGAAAATGAAGTCATCACCCTTTATAAATTAATAATGAACTTGAGGTCAGATTTTGGAACCTTTAGCTATTATCACTTTTATTGGACTGAAAGTCTTGCGAGAATTGGATTGTTGTCCCACGAGTATTTAATACCTTTACTTAGAGGTTTTGTCCTTGGTCATCGGTGGAGGATGACATTGTTGTGTTGAATAATATCGTGTATGTATTATGGATTGTTGTCCTGCGAGTATTTAGTACCTTTACTTAGAGGTTTTGTCCTTAGTCATCGGTGGAGGATGGCATTGTTGTGTTGAATAATATCATGTATGTATTACACTTGTGTTATTATGCATTCTAGTATGTTGAGACGGTTGGGAATGTGCTTGCGCTTCGAATGAGAGGTACCATTACCTTTCAGCTAGCGCCTGGAGAATTGGCCGCACTTAGAATGAGAGGTACTAGTACCTTCCAGCTAGCGCTTGGAGAACTTGGCAGAGGTACCATTACTTTCCAGCCGGTGCCAAGTAAATTGGCATTTCGTTATGGAAAGGTGTATCCTTGGCTTGACATTTTGTTATGGAAATGTGTATTCTTGACTTGGCATTTTGTTATGGAAAGGTGTATCCTTGGCTTACCGTGCTTAAGGTAGGTAGAGCGGAACTTGTTTATCATTATTGTCTCAGTATATTTGTGTATATTATGGGTTATGATGGTTATGGTTCTGGAAGGCCGAGTTGCCTCATTTGTTGAGTAGATAGTTGTTGGTTGTTTGTTGTTTTCCCTTTGTACTGAATGTATATATGTAAAGACATAAATGTGTTGGAAACGGATTCGTGTTGGAAACGGACGTAAGTACTGTATTGAGATTGTGAATTATGTGAAGGACATCGGATACTTGTGAACATGTTTCAAAAAGGCAAATCAGGTGTACGTCTTGAAAGTGGGAGAAAACGTAATGGGCTTTGTGAAATTGTTTTCAGGAACTTGTTATTGTCATATGAATTTTGAAAAAGGTAACATGAAGAAAGAAAAGTAAAATGCTTATGTTGTTGAACGAAATGAATGATTTGGAGAAAAGTTCCTATATAAGTATATTTCTGTATAAACCGTCACATTATGAATATGATATGATTTAAAGCATTCATGATCATAACTATCTGTATGTTGTTATTGTTCAGGATCATATTGGGATCCCTACTGGACTTTATGTTCATCCCACGTTGGTAATCCTTTTTCAGGTGAACGTCAAGAAGGATTTCAAGATCGTGGATCGTCTTTATGTGTTGGCCACGGGGCCTTTTATTTGTAGGCAGAATGCCATTAATGTAAAATGGTTAAACCCTTTCTTTTAATTTAAAAGATGTAAGCCTACGGACAATTTATTTATTTTTATCTCATGTTGCATTCATTTCATATTCGAATGAGAGAGCCTTTAATGATAGTACTCGTTAATGTATTAAATTTCTGCGCATGATCTTTGAAATTGTGTTATAATTAAGGATTTAGTAATGGTATCTGTTGATATAAAAAGTGGGGCGTGACAACAGGTATATAGAAACTACAGAACTGTTGGTTGCATTGGCTACATAATGAGAGAGCAGAGTGAGACCAATTAATTTATTGATACTGTGCAAAAAGACTCCACAACAATTAGCACCAATATAAGCAACCATACCAAGGTCAACATTTTTGAAAGGGCTCCCGCTTGCAAAAACTATATTTTCTCCAGCATGATTGAAAGCATCAACAGCAGTGCATTCAGCTGTTCCAGTTAACATGGAAAGACAATGTTCAATAGAGAAATAGTGCATTCCACAATAAAATACAGATAATTTAGAGGCCTTGTAAGACAAACCATTCACCGTCAGATTTGACATTGCAAAAATGGTAGGTTTAGGGAAATCTGACTCTCGCATGGCCTAAAGCACTTGATTTATCAAAGAAGACATACCCTCTACCAAGCTCAAAAAGAGGATACACTTTGCCATTGTTGTGCTTAGTGCCTTGCAGCTAGACACTAAGTGGCGAATGGTTTTTCAAACATAACCAGCCATAGTTACTTATCAAGTAATAGGTATTTCAAAACGAGATTTACCTATACAGTAATGGTAATTTAATTATGAAAAAGGCCAAATTTGTGCATGAAAGGATTAGTAAATTAAGGAAAAACACCCATAAAAATAGAGTAAACAAAGGGTCGTTAAACACAAGAGGATAGTTAAAAAGAACGAGGGTTGATGCAGTAAGAAAGAATGTAATTGCCATGGATTTAACTGAGGTATTGCTTTATAGAGAGCATTTTGGGAAAATATTCATGTAGTCAATTCCAAGAGGTTGAAATTAGGTCTTTGTTGAGTTGAGCCAAGTGGGTTTAACTAATAGTGATAACAGCAAATGACATCTTGATGAGGTATGCTCCTTTATCCTAATAATAAATAATTGTAAGTTTTTTTTGTAAGAATTGGATTATTTAGCAGAAGTTGGGAAAAAGTAACATGATAAAAGGGTTAATGAAGACTATCTCTAAAAGGTATTGCCTACATCTAGGAAACAAGAACAAACAAACTTGCAAAGCAAAGGAGTTTCGGAGGGGGAATGTTAATGTACTTTCCGCAACTAATACCATTTATCAACAACTAACCAAATAAATAGTACAGAACAACATGCCTTCCAAATGAAACTAAGCCAACTTCACTAGTTCATTATGCTTCATTTGAAAGTAATGAAGAACAAAGCAAACTTAAGGGGCTGCCCACCTGCTCATTGAAGATGCCGCTAACTTCAGACAAACCAAGAAGCACATGAGGCTTCACTCTTTTAACCTAAACAAAATCCATTCCCCGCAATTAGTTTTTCTAAATTATGAAAGCATGCACAATGTTTTGAATGATAACATCAAATATCCTTGAGACAATTGCATGTACCCAAGAAGCAAGCTAAACAACCAAAGGTTTCTTTTCCACACAATATCAATCTATATCAGCCCTGCATCAACATAAGCTGCCAAAAAACACTCCAGTAAGATTTACCACTTCAACGAGATTTGCTCCCTCCCTAAGCCCCAAACCCTTGATCTCCCCAGGGGCTTTGGCAAATGGTGCAGCAGCTGGATCAGCACCCTTCCTTTCCGTTGTAATGAGACCCTGCATTTAAAGCAGTACTTCTCAAAAAAAGATGAACCAAAAGTCAAATGAATGATTCCCCGAAAATGTAAATGAAACGACAAAGTTCAGATTGCCATATTATGAGTTTTTCTTCTCAATCCAATGCAGATTCATTCCCACTATTCATTCAGTTACATGCAGATAAGTAATTGATTATCATTACTTTGAAAAAAAGGTGAAATTCAGTTGATAACACTAAAAAAAAAAAATCAAAAAATCTCCTTCTTTACAAATATGTTCAAACATATGTTCTCCACATTTCATTAGAAGATAAATACCCAGTAATACATAATAAAGGCTAATACGGTAATTGACATTAGGAACAAAAAAGTTAGAGAGCAAGCAATAGCTGTAGAACCACACATCTTTATCAAGTAGGAAAAACTGAGGACTTGCTTCAGCTCCTGCCATTCTTGAAACAGCCTTTGTAGCCATGTTAAAAACATCAAGCCCTGCACTGAAAGACAGAAAAAAGAATAAGAAGATACAACTCACAGCTGATATTACCAACCACCCTAAACCATAAAAAAGTAACAATCAAACCAGGAGTACAACCATTACAGTTGAACTTCGTCAGTACCTTCCAGCTCCAACTACAACTATCTTCTGGTTCACATAGTTAGTCAATGGTCGACCTTGTGCCCTTACGCTTCCAAGCAGTCCTGCCAGTGCAACACCAGCAGTTCCCTATACAACATGATGACAAGCGACAAAAATGCCATTATAATAGAGTCACCCTTAACAATCTTAAAGTACTTTGTCTTATTATATTCTTCACCTGCATGTCATCATTGAACATGCAGAACCTTTTTTGATACCGTTGCAGTCTTTCAAAAGCCCACTTCATTTGAAAATCCTCAAACTGATAATATTCGCCAAGCATCAAGTAATCCGTATGATATTGGTTACACATCAAACAAGATGTCATATTTCTTAAAGAATTAAACTTGCACAATAGCCTTGGGCCGACGGGCGTGAATTGCCTCCATAAATTCATCAACAATTGATAGATACTCCTCTCCTTCCAACTGAGGGTGCCGAAGTCCCAAATCTGTCGAAGTAAAATCAAGTGAAAATAAATCCTCATGAAGTTTGTTGGAAAAAATGGGTTTACAACCAGTTATGTAGTCTACTTACTCTGCTTAAAGACTAGAAAATATGGAGAACGAAATAGAGTATATTCAGCATAAATGAATGTTAAGAATGGATAAGCATGAATGAACTTCAATGTTTAAAATTGTTGGAAGTCCAACCTAAGGTGTTAGTAATGAAATTTAACGAGGGAAATCCTACTTCATACAAGTAAATAGTCAATATTTTCAAATCTGAGAGGTTCATGATGTCTTTCTTACAAAATGAGAAAAATATGAAAATAATTGACAAGAAACAATTGTAAACAAGAAAAGATTAGACTTGAAACCTTTGTGATGATGGAATTTAAATGGAAATCAATATTACAACACATGGAAGTATAGTCTTTATTTATTTTATTTTATTGTTTGATAAATAATAAACAACTCCATTTGAATGATAATAATTTGGCTGTAATAACTAGACACTCTTGGGCATTATATGTACACTTATGTACAGTCAGATTGTTTCCATAATTCCGTGGTTTCTATTTTAAGTGCATTTTCGTTTCTAGTTTGTTTAGGTAAGGTCATCCCAAAAAACAAAGATATATATGCAGGTACATATCTAATGAGGTGATTCTTATTTACATCTCTAGTTTTGTTAGACTTTAACTTCAAGTTCTGTTGGATCTAAATCTGAATTCACACCATAAAGAGTAATATTAAATAATTAAATCTTAGAAGTTTTATCCATGTTAAAGTTGATTCTAAGTATTAATTATGATTATCTTTCGAAAGCACCTCTGGATCTACAATTAGCACCCTCACAAAATGAAGTGCTTAATTCTATCAGGATACAATGTCTTCTAGTTGAATTTAAGTTAAGAGAAATGAAAAATATACAAAGTGCTACATCCACTTCTATATTTGTTTGATTATATAATCTTTTTCAAAAAAATTTGTATTGTTGCTTTCATCAGCAAGGACTTTAGCAGTTCTACCAAAACCCATTTCATAGTCACTAAGGTAGCGTTTGGTAACGTTTACGTTTTTGGTTTATGTTCACAAAAATTTTATAAACTGGTTTTTGTTTATTTTTAGAAAAACATAAATTATAAACGCATTTGGTTTGAACAAAATGTTTAAAAAATTTTAATAACATAAACAAAAAAATATGTTTGTTCAGGCCTAAAATATTTATATTTATTTTTATTATTTATGAAAATGGGATCACACACATTATACTTGAAAAAAATTAATTAAAAAAAATAATTGAAAAAAAATTAATTAAAAAATAATTGAAAAAAAAATTAATTGGGAAAAAAAATTAATTGAAAAAAAAGATTAATTGAAAAAAAAAATATTTGAAAAAAAAATTAATTAAAAAAAAAATTGAAATGTAAAGTTTACGTTTTTTCCTCAAATTTATAAACTGGACAGCCATTTATAAACTAAAAAAATTATCAAACAAGTTTTTATGACAATTTTTAAAATTTTTATAAATATAAACTGAAAACATAATGGTTACCAAACAAACCCTAAACATTGCTACATCATAATTTTTAATATAAAGTCACACTAAGACAGTCAAATATGGCCTAGGACAGGTTGCCCGACAATCAAATTTTGAGTAATTTTCGGAATGCATTAGATCAATCCATATTTTTCTATTGCTTAATAAACAAAAAAGATCCTATGCTATCCTAGTCACTTTGTCTCAAGTACATTACTCAATCAGGGTAATTTTATTTACGTATATTACATAATCAGCACCAATGAAGCTTTATAGTCTAATTGTCATAGTTCATTTGCATAGCACCCTCAAAAGACAACAAATACTTGTCCAGGCTGACAGCAACTTTATTTGACAAGAATATTCCACCGAGAAAATTTTTCTAAGTTTCATGGAGTTCTCAGAACGAAAAGATATGAGCATGTATATCTCCATCAGCAAAACACTTCTATTGTATAAGCTAGATAATATTATATTTACAAGGGAACAAGCATGTTGCTTAAAACATGTGCATATGACGCCAAAATAATCACAGATATTGAGAAAGCGGACAATCAAATGAAGGAGATGCATGAAACTTTAATTAGCACAAAGAAACCTCACCTCTCCTCTCTGCATGTGTTAAGAGAGAGAGAGAGGCATCCAGTATTGCAGTATTCAAGGCCTATTACAGTCTGTAAGAGAGATGATAATCAATTATGTTAAAGAGCAAGTGATCTGGTTGAATATATTCAGTCCCAAAAATGCAGCCTTTAAACTTCTATGAAGTATGAAATAATTGAAACAATAAAATATTAAATAAAGAAAAGGAACCACTGAACATAAAATAAACAGCACAAAGTCAATAGAAAGACAGTCTTCAAGAAGCTTTTGATTGTTGGTACCAACATCAAGCATAACTGGAAGTATCTGTCATAGATGAACACAGCTAGATTGGTATAGAAGAAAGCATAATGAAAGGGTAAACATTTAGTCCAAAACTGAATATAAATATCATAGTTACTAGTATCTTTGAGATCAGGTGGACGAGAAATTACTGTCAGTTCTCCACGTAGCTAACCTTCTATCTCATATATATGCACTTTCATCAATATAATATCCACATTGATGAAAAATAGCCAATAGAAATATGTCTTGCAAAGCATGAAAATATAACAACACAACCAACATATAAGCAAGCATAGGTAACCTTCAATACGCATGATACATGCAATAACAATGTGCTATGATCCATATCAAGTATGGTAAACATCTGTGAGTCAGCCCAGTACTAAATGTGTATTTACTTGTCAGTGTGCACAGGGGTTTATACATTGACACACACTTGTATACCAAATTTATTTTAGTGCACACCTGTTTGTGCAATGCCTACATGAACTGTACATAATAAAGAGAGATGAGTAGAGCATACTCTCTGTGGATTGATTCCAGCAGCAGCGACATACATATCAAGATTTCCAATGGGTATTCCAGTTCCCTGTACCCCAAGATCACCCAGACCAAGAATGCGGCTACCATCAGTCAGGACAATCATGTTGCAATACAGAAGAAGCCATATACCCATGATATGTCAAGTGCAATGATGAACATAACCTTTAAGCTGCAAGGAGTGCTGAACCAATTTTCATTTCTAAGCGAGCAAATGTGCTCATTTTGTAATGTGTATATTCATTATTCACAGCAAACAATAATGCTACACTGGACACATTTTTTTACCTTGCTTTGTTTACCATCTGATCTGGTACAAGTACAAAGCACTCTTAATGTATCACCAAGAAGGAGGTAAAAGCAATAAAGAGAACAAAACTGCACATTAATGCATTTTAGATTTCCAAAATACCAGATGACCAGGCCAGTTATAGATCATGGACATCATCTCTCCTTTATCTTTTGCACTGAAGTACATTCCCCATGGGCGTCTGAACAACCCTGAATAGTTTTGGCAAACCAATCCTACTGTAGGAGTATATATTATTGGAGCAAAATCTTCAATGTTATCAATAAGGACATGGAGAGAAAAGCAACAGCAATGCGTCATTGCCTCAAATTATTTCTCTCTAGCTAAAGAGAAATTATAATTAACTAAAACTACAAGCACAAATTGCATGGTCACAGACAACTTTATTTTCATCTGTGTATTTTTCTTTACTTCAGTAATCAATCTAACCATGGTGTGTTCTCGGCACACTTGGATTCAATTGTAAGAGCGACTACCCGATATAAATTAGACAGAGCACACCTAAGAGAAGTCTGAAACCATACAGCATGCAAAGTTCGAAAACAATCTACTCCTCACCAGCCAAGATTTAGCAGCTAGAACTATGCTTAAGAATTTGGACAGCCAGATATATTACTTGATTTCTCTTATCTTCACCTTCACTAAAGATTCAAGGTGTACACGTCAAGTGCTATGACTCAGACATAATGCACCAAACATCAACATAATGTATACTCTTCTTCCCACAAAATTACGACCGTAAGTTTCATTTCTAGGGTATTTTATTTTTTCATGTTCCATTAGTTAACAATTCATTGTTTACTAAAACCATAGAAAAGAAACCAAATTAATATAGATAGAAGTAATACTGAATTTACATTTTAAAGATCTGTTTCAAGACTCTAGTTGAGATGGAAAAATCTCCTTTCTAGAACTAAAGGAATACAAGACCTTTACTGGCACATTAGTTTTTTCAAGACTTCTTTGCTGCGTTTTTTACCTCTATTTTTTCAAATTAATCTGTGATCTTTCCTCCATTCAGTAATATATAGATTAATCAATAGTCATTAATAAAAACATTAATTCAACTTATTTATTTTGGAAGAGAGGAATCATAAGCATTAAATGGTGTGTTTCAAGGCCTACACCTAATATATTATGAGATCCCAAGGAGACAATGTAAATTCCATCATTGCAGCTGCATCAAATATTCTTGGTCCATCGCAAAAAAAGGCCATCAAATTAAGTTTAAGAGCTGAAATCTAGCACTTCATAGAATGTTTGAATGAAGTACAAGATCATTTTTGCCGACCTAAAATCAAGATAAACTATAAAAGCCAAAACACATGGAGCACGAAAAGTGACCTTTTGGACTCGGAAGCTTTTGCAAGCAGCATGATGTCCCCATAGGAATGAGATGTTTGTACAGTTATAGTAACCAATCAAGACTCAGCAACAATCCAAGACCAGACTAGAGATATGTTGTCCTGCAAACCAAACAAGTCAAGTGTTAGTTCAACTTGTTGTAACTGTAAAACTCAAGTTGTGTATAGGATTATTTTATTGGATAGGTTAGTAATTAAATTAATTTATATGGGTCATTTATTAATATCAAAGAATTAGTTATGGGATGGCATTATATTTTCTATTACTTAGATGGGTAATTTTATAACTTTGAGAAATTAGGTTAATAAGTCCACTTGTTATGGCTTTAAGTCTTGGGAAGCAAACAAAACAGAGGTTGGGAATTGCTCTATAGGCGGCAAGGGTTTGAGAAGGTAAAAGAAAAGAAAAAGAGAAGAGAGGTTCAAGTGAGGCTGCAATAAGGATTGGAGGCAGCACGTTGGGTGATTTTGGGACACCCATTGGTTGGGGTAAAATCTGCCTTTACTGTTGATTATTGAGTTTATGTTGAGGAATTAAACAATCAATGCATTAAGGGGATTTGAAAGATCTATAGGTGCCTACTTAGGTTTTGAGAATTGGGTGCAATGTGTGAGTGTAACTTTGGGTGGGTAATAGAAACAATGGAGTTTTGTATCATGGGTAAGGGTGTGTTTGGCTATAAAGTTGGGTTGAATGGTTTGATTACTTGGATATTAAAGCAATACATTAATCTAATATGGTGGGGCTTTTGTGGGTCTATGTAACACGTAAAAATATTAATTTATTTGAGGTTTTATTTATTAGATTTGTGTGATTGAAGTGGTGGAGTTGGGTGTTTGGAGTTGGTGTTGGAATATTATTTCTAAGCGTCTGAGGTAAGTAACCTTCTATCACTGTTGGTACATTTTTATTTCCTATTGAATCGTTTAAAATTATAAGTATTTGTTCATAGCCTTCATGTTCTCTTAAAATAAAATATAGGTCAAGTATAAAACAATATCGAATATTATTATGAAAATTATTTGAATATTTTATGGAACTATTATGAAAATTGTACTAAATGTTTATTCTGAAAATATCGAATATTTTTTTTAAAAGTTGTGTATTGTTTAAATTTTGAGCATTACTCTAGTCTGATTATGATTTGGACCCAAGCCAATGGGGGTTATTTATTGGCACAGAAACTAATTTCTTTTGGGGCTTTACTACCGGCCTATGTGTGGTTCTGGGCCTTGTCACGGGCTAAGTGACCCTAGTCTCCACGACTTGGGTTTTGTGAATCGCATCATTGAACCATTGAATATCGATTGTTGAAATTTGTGAAAAATTTACAAGTTGAATTTAAACTAAGGTTATGTCAAACACTTGTTGAAATTTGTGAAAAAATTTACAAGTTGAAATTAAACCGAGATCATGTCAAACACTTGTTGAAATTTGTGAAAAAATTTACAAGTTGAAATTAAACCGAGATCATGTCAAACACTTGTTGAAATTTGTGAAAAAATTTACAAGTTGAAATTAAACCGAGATCATGTCAAACACTTGTTGAAATTTGTGAAAAAATTTACAAGTAAAGTCCAAGGTTATATTAAAATGAGTACTTATGTACTTGCCGATATAAACCGTTAGTGGGTATAGCCGAAGTATTTCGCCCTGAGAAGATTACACAATTAAGGTGTACATTAAAGATATACAGAGATATTCTAAGTATGAGAGTCATACAAGACAGTAAAAGGAGGACAAATATACAAACATTCAGGAGAGAAAGTTGTATTAACATTCAAAAGAAGGCACATTGGCCACATCAAGAGCTTACATTGTTCCCGAGAAAGAAAAAGTACAAGGTACAGAAAAAAAGAAAAAAAACCTCAAACTAAGATTCTTCAGCGCTACTAGCAGGTTGGGTCTGGATCTCAGAAGACTGCTTAGAAGACATGTCAGTCGCAAGCTCGGCATCTATTTCCTGGAGGGTCTGCTCAAGGCTCTTATCGGCTATAGGCGCTTCCGACGTTGCCTTCTCAGGAGTAGCGTCTTCGGGAACCTCCTCACCCTCCTCGTCTTGAGTCAAGTCTAGGACTTGGTCATTTTGAGTAGGGGACTTGGCCCCAGCAGCTTCCTTTGACTTCCTCACCAAAGCTTCCTCCTCAGACTCAGAATCGTCATCAGATTGGCTTGGAGTTGGGGGGAATGGCAGGGCGAGGACGTCGGTGTTCCTGAAGGGGGAGTCCTCGGGGACTTCAAGCTTTTTCAGTAAAGCCATCCAACCAAGGGTGAAACCCTTGTTGCATGCCTACTTCACCTAACGCTCGTAGTCTACCGTGACATCGACCACCCCCTCAGCATATGCCTTTTTGTCTGCGGCCTTGATTTTGGCCTCTTTTGTGGCCAAGGCATCTTGAAGTTCTTTCTGGGCCTGGGTCATCTTTTCCTTGGCCTCTCTCTTTTCGACCTCGAGAACCTTCTTGACAGCAGCCTCGGCCTGGTCTGCCAAAGTCTTCATTTTTATTGTAAGTTTTTATTGGTCTTCTGTAGACTAGTAGCCTCCATAGTCTTGTCGGCCAACGCCTTCCTTGTCTCAAAAAATTGCATTGAGAATGAGTGGGCGTGCTGGATTGCCTAAAGAAAAATGGACAGAGCAGAAGTTATTAGAAAATTTTCTAAGTATAAAAAAGAAAGAAAGGTACCAAGTGTGAAAACTTACTTGAACAGAATGCTGGAGCATTAGAGCAAAATTTTCATACTCGCTCATCTCGGCGTTTCGGTCAAGATCGCCAGGAAGAAACAAAGCGGTACTAAGAGCGACGACGACATTAACGTCGTTGGCACTATCGCCAGCTCTAACTGGCCTGTCCTCTAGAGTGATTTGGAGGGCCCAGGGAAAGTCAGACTTCATGGAGCTCGAAATTGTTGTAGAAGACGACCTCGGCCTCTTTGATCTTGTGGACTCAGATGGTTGGGCCTTAGCAGGCCTCTTCTCGGCGGCAGATAGGGCCTTATCACTCTCAGCCAATTTGGAGATTGGCAGGGTGTCCTCAGTATCAATCTGAGTCACCGTTGCCTGTGGCTGAGCCTTCTTTATCCTTTTTTGTTTCGGTTTTGGCTGAGATGGTGCTGGTTCAACGTCAACAGTGGCCGGGATGTTGGCCAAGAGGTCCTTAGCAATTGCTTTCTGGCAGCCCATCTCAGCAGCAAAAACTGTTTGGCGTCGTCGACGGCGTTGAGATGGCGAGATCAACTGTGGAGCCGAGCTAGATGGTTGTTCTACCAGATCTGAGGTTGAACCCTGATCCAGCCGAGATGAAGAAGCTGTAGGTGGAGTTATGACGGAAAGAAGAGACTTGCTTTTCTACTTCCTTGGGACATCGGGAAGCACCGACTTATAGGTTTGGATGAAATTGAGCAGTAAAGGAGCTCTCCGCTGTTGGACAGGCAAATCTAATAGCTTCTTCAAGTCCTTGTTGGGAAAGAAAGACTGGCGGAAATCTTTTGGTGGTTGAGGAAGAGCTGCAAGAAAAACAGATGTTAGAATATATGGAAATAAAGAAGTATTAAAAGCTTGAAAAAAATAGCACTTGGCTCTTACCATTACCCTCTACAAATACTGTTCGACTGAGAGGGTACAGGTGAAGGTCGTCATCTGGAGCAAACTCCCTGTTGCCCGAGACAATGAAGTAATCATCCCCGACTCCCTTGTTGGAGTCAGGGAAGTCGGCAACCAGTTTGTATTTAGTAGACCTCGGTTTGAGGTAATAGACATAGCCTTTTTCTAATTTGAGGCCACACATGGTGTAGCAATATTGGATGTCGGCTAAGGTCACCCTAGCATTTTCTCGGCGTGCTAAGGCTATGATACCGTTAATGACTCTGTATGAGTTAATGGTTAATTGCATCAGGTTAAGCTTGTAATAACGGAGGACTTCTCGAAAAAGGATGTCTAGCGGAAGCCTGAGTCCACACTCGATGAAGGCAACAACAGGGAAATGCATGAGGTTTACATCGGGCATGATGGAGTCGTTTTCCCCGGTCAACCTCAGATGAACGTCGGCCGGAATGTCAAACTCCAGCCTGATGTGCTCTAATTTGGTCGGGGTATCTACCCTATGCTTCCACATACCCATGACGTCGGCTTAAATTTCAGAAGTTGGATTTCAGAAAGAAGATGTTTTGTAACAATTTTTAAAGACCTCAGCTAAAACCTAAATGTGAGCTGGGGTAAGAATTTGTGGGGATCGTTTCAGTTTTTCCTAAAATTTGTGGTTCTATAAGCAAATCCCAAACCTAGATCTATGGAAACGAAGATTGAAGGCACGAATCTGGAAAGGAAACAGAAAACAAAAAACAGGAATGTAATTCAGAGCCAAGAATAGTGATGAATCATCAAGAAACACAAGACAAAAGTTTGCGCAGGTGTGTCAGGCCAAGAACAGTGGCAAAAATCAACAAGTGTGTGAACAGTGTGAATTCAAGAAACAGATGGGGCAAAAACAGAATCATGAGACAAACATGTGGTGGAAAACAAGATATAAGTTGAAATATCAAAGATATGAGCAGGATTGCAGAGGCAGAGCAGTGGAGTTCAATAAAGCAAAAAAGAAACTGAAACAAGAAGTTAAATCGGGAAGAAACAGTAACTCACCGAAGAAAAGAAGCCGGTGTTGAGTTCGCCGAAGTCAGACGAGCGAAAGCAGCGTAAAAGACTACCAAGAGCCTCGCCGAATGGGGTGAATGGCGGTGGTAGCAGAGCTTGAAAGCTTGGAACAATGGAGGATTTGAGAAAGTAAGAGAGAGAGAGAGAGTTTGAACAAAGACGATGATAAGTGAAAAGACAAGGAGAGAGGAAATGAGTTTTGTCAAAAACTTGAAGAGGCGGCAAAATGCAATTAAATGTGCCTGGAACGACGTATCTGACAGACGGCGTACGCAGGCACGAGGCGATTTTATGGCGCGTATTAAACACAGTCCAATGGGGTAGA